TTATTTTAAATGTTTGATGAAGTTGTTGAAGAAGTTGGGGAGTGCTTGGTTGTTCAAGTTATTACAGATAATGTAAGTGTATAGAAGGCTACAGGAAGAATGTTAATAAGGAAAAGAAAGCAACTTTACTGCACTCATTGTCTTGTTCATTGTCTTGATTAAATGATTGAAAAGTTGGGACAATTGTCGCAACATATATTTGTTTTGCTTAAAGCAAAAAACAGTAAGTATTACACTAATTCTTGGGTATTAAATTTAATGAGAAAATTCACAGAAAAAGAATTTATCCGACCAGCGGTTACAAGATTTACCACGATTTATTTGACCTTGGAAAGATTGAAAGAATTAAAGAGCAACGATGTCAAAAAGAAGAAATGCTAAGAATAATAAAAAAAATTTAATAATAATAAAAAATATATTAAGAATAATAAAAAAAATATATAACATTATCATTCAAAAACTAAGATGTCAATAAGAAGAAATGCCAGCATAAGTGAGTGATTGACAAATCGCTTAAGCTCATCTGCGAGAAGAGAAATCATACAGATAAGTCGAACATATAGGTTTAACATTTAAATAACAAATATTTTTTTTATTTTACTTATAAAATATATAACATAGGTGTTTAACAAATATTTTTATTTTTTTTTTAATTCACTAATTTAATACACGCATGTCAGACTTGCGTGTCACTTTTTTATTTTAAAATTATTTAAATCATACATGTCAGAGACGTGTGACACATGTCTGGAAAATGTCGGGCAAGTGTTATTAATATATATATATATATATATATATATTAAGAATAAAAAAAAAATTAATAATATTATCATTCAAAAAGTAAGATGTCCGTAATAAGAAATACTAGCACAGGTGAGTGATAGACGAACAGCTTGAGCTCATCTACGAGAAGAGAAATCATACGGATAAGTCGAACCTATAGGCTTAACATTTAAATAAAAATAATAATTTTACTTATAAAAAATATACCATAGCTATTTAACAAATATTTAAAAAAAAAATTATTCACTAATTAAGATGCGTGTTTGGCATGCCACACCTTTTTATTTTAATAATATTTAAATCGTACATGTCAGAGATGTGTCCAATATATGTCCGGGACATGTCGGGCAAGTGTTCGCCTCCAACACTGCTCAGCTTCCTTGTTAAAAGTGCATGTGCCTCATAGTCCACAAGTGAAGCTACTTTGAGCATGAGGAAAGGCCATTAACACATTGTAACGCCTTACCCTATAGGTAATGTGACCCAAGTTATGCATTTTGTGGCCTTATGTAATTGCTATGAACTCAAATGAAGGTTTAGTCATACATCCTTGTGAAGGTTAAAAATTAAATTTTCTCTTCTAACTCTATTGGCTCTTTATTTTCCTTATTAAATAAGTTGATGTCTCATTAATTGGACTTTTTAACTTTGAGAATAAGTGAAAATATACCACATACCTCAACATATAAAAGGGCTCGAGTTCATTTTCCTTAATTGGATTTAAAAAATAAAAACTTATGACATCAAAGGTTTGTTCACAACTCTAAAAGGTAGAAAGAACCAACAACTAGGCCTAATTTTGTAGTAAAGTACATTTTAACATGCATATCGATAAATGATGAGACGTCGAGTGCCATAAATAAATTTGGAATCAATAAGATCAAGTTTGGGTTTTTAGCTCATCTTCCTAACCGAGGAAGGGTTGACACATTATTGAATTAAAATTGAAGCTTTATAAGCATTATAGTAAGTTGTCACCCAAAATAAAACAATACAATCAATTATGTCAAACAAGTATCTGTTAAAGCACAATTGCAACAAATAAGAAACCATGATAACATCATCACAATTTTATGTATATCTATACACTTATCAATGAAAAATATGATTACTAATGCATTGGCACAAATATTGAGAGCAGCACACCATTCATGGTCATTTGGGCTACCATGATGCATTTATGTTCTTTAAACACGATTTTAAGGTGATTGACTGCCATGCACAATTTTCATGTAACTTCATACATTCAATACATTAGCACCCTTCTGAAGGTAGTTTGTACAAGGTACTCCAACACTAAACAGTGATTAAACTCTCATGTGAAAGATAGGAATAACTTTCTAAGGTTTCTAAAATTTTTATGAGAATTTCAGAATTTCCCTTAATTTCTAATTATTAATACAAATGATATCTTTTTTAAATCTAAAAAACATTTCATACCAACTTGACCTTATGGGCCAACTTATAACTAGAATTTTTCTACAATTTTTAGGAATTTTATGGCATTTTAATGCAATTTTCATTTTTTTTAGGGGTTGATTTTTTTTGCTTTAAAAAGGGCTAGAATACATTCATAATCTAAAATTATAAATAGGTTCAAAACATAATATCTGGTGATTGTTTTGTACTACTAGGATCTCTAGAGACCATTAGCGTGGTCCTTGTAAGATTAGTGAAAGATACAATAAGCAATGTTAACTGGCCAACAATACCACATATCAACCCACATTGTTCTAGCTTTTTGCGACAAATGCATAGTGGTGAGATGTAACTGAATAAGTCAAGTTGAGGACTACGCTGCTCAAACACATATATTAACTTTTTATTGTACCCAACCAAAAGCTTAAACATGGCCTCAGTTTCAAAATCTTCACAAGCTTATTATCTTAACAAATTCAGACCATAATCAAGCTTTAATCGAACATAAATAAATATATGTAAGAAGCCAATGATTAAAACAAGGCCTCACTGTAAACAGTAAATATAATAATATCTTTTATTAAAATTGATAATAATAAACTCAGTATTTCAAATATTTTATAAATACAAAGTTTAGACTTTTAATCTATTCATCTTACTATTTATTTAATACTTTTGTTATCAAATGCTGATTTAAAAAAAAAGAGAGATTAATCTGCCCGTTTAATATTTGTTTAATATTTTATCATCACATCTTAGTAAAAAATATTTTATTTTTTTTCTAATTTATCGATGTAGCTACATGCTAAATATTATCATCATACGTATAATAGTGATATAAATAACTTTTGAAGTGCATAGAATAAAACAAATTGATATAATAACAAATAAAAAGGTATAAAAAAGCAACAAAATCGTCATTAAATGAGAAATTTATCAAGCTCTTAGTAGCCAATTGTTAAAACAATAAAGAAAAGAGGTTTATGAACCTAAACAAACAAGCAAATTAAAAATTTGTTCAAACTTATTTAATTATCTAAGAAAACGATTATAAATGGATCTCATATGACTAAATATCAAGTTATTCATCAAATGTACAAGTTCATTTACAGCTACATATGGTGGAATTGATTGGTAACATTTTGACCCAAGATGGACGCTTAAGCACCTGGACAATATCCTGTAACCTTCCTAAATCTGTCCATGTTAATAAAAAATGAAATGTTGAACTCTGGTCGGGCAATCTATAATTAGTTGCTTTCTTTAAACATTACTATTTTGTTCAACATTGTTAATTATATTATTATTCTTTTCTTGGTTTAATTAAGTTCGCTTGCATGTCTTTGTTCAATTATTCTCCCCAAGTAGTTGAAAAGGAATGACCATCAATTTGTCCCAAACACATCAAATGTCTAACCAGAAACCTGGTTACGAATGGTTTAGAGAAGCATGGCCAATAAGCTTGTTGTCTTGGGAGGTGAACCCATCAGCTTATGGTATTTCCTAATTAGATTTGGAAGCAAAAATAGCTAGCTAACAATGATCTAGCTAGATCTCCCTCTTAGGGATGGACTGAAACAAAGCAGGCCCGAACATATTGGCCCATGGATGACTTCTAGCAATTTGGATAGTTTTAATGGAGCAGATGGTAATGGATTGCTGTTTACACAATAAAGAATCTTGTGAAGTTAATTGTAACGCATCAATGATGGTTGAAGAGGCAATATCAAGCACGAACAGAACCTCCTAATTTTTCATCATTTCATCGTGTAAAGAAGGCTTTGAGATCCACTCCATCAGATGTCATTGTGGAACACAACATGATTTGCTTCTTGGGAAGGATTACAAGGCACGCCAGAATAACTAACATCATAAAGTATGACATGACTCAAATCATGGGGAAATGAGAGAGAATAAATTTGGTAAAACTGCACCCAATATTTTTATCATTGGAACTAGTAGTTGTATGTTGTCTCTTTACTCTGGACACTCGTGCCAATTAACCGGTAACCTCTATGGATTGTCGATTCTTTAAGAGAGGAAGGAGATTTTGGGTTTGGAACAATTGCAGCTATAATAATTTAGTTTGGGATGTAGTTTTAAATAGGATGAAGAAATGTGTGAATAGCAGAGAATTGCAATGAAGGGAGAGAAGACATTCGTCTTTCAGATGGAATGGATACGATGGAGAAAAGCAGACATGGAAAACTAGTAAACGAACGAGTGATGTGTGATCATGATTGACATAGTGGAGACTAGCCTTGTCTTGGTTTCAAGATTCTCATTGCACTATTATCAAGTCTCTACTACAGGTGGAAGAGGTGACGAGAGTGGGATAGGGTATCAGGATTGGAGAAAGCATAAAACAACTTGAAGAATAGAAAATGGCTTATTAAATTTGATATGCTTTGCACTTAATCCGTTAAGTTGTATGCCTGTTCTTTAATTCACTTAAATTGTCTAGAAATTATTTAAATTTTACAAAAAGTTAACAAATTAATTAAGAATGCAATTAATTTGATGCATATGAAAAGAATTAATCAAGCTCATTAGGGCTAGGATTAGTGTTAAATGGATAATGGGCCTAACTAAAGGCCATGTCCTTGATCATTAAGGCTTGGACTTAATTAATCCTTATTAGTGAGATAGGTTTGATGAACACAATTTTGGGTAAACATAATCACTTCAAAACAAAGATTAATAACAGTGGCAATTGTGTATGAATAGTGCAAATAAGGAAAAACAAGCAAGGAAATAGTTGCAGCTAGCAGTAAGTCAAAATTTGCAGCATGACATACCTTTGCTTCAAAAGAAACAATTAAACTGTGTAGCATCAAATGAGGATAAAACCTACCAAATAAAAAAATTATAAAAAAATCATAAAGAATGAATATGCAATTACAGCAACCTCGACACCAAATATATGTTTATACACATCAGTGCAGTTCTACATGAGACAAAAATAGTGTCATCAAATGTTATCCTTACTAGCAAAAACTTAGCCACATAAAGCTTATGCCAAGCAATTCACCTATAGATTGAGGCCATTGCTTTCAATTTTATTTCAGTGGCGCTTGGTATAAGCTTTTACATAAAAGCATCCAATACATAATATGTTAAATGGTTTCCAAATAGCAAATTGACTGTAATTGATCTGCCCTGATGGGTAGAGTATACCATTAGTCTAAGTTAATTGTGAGAGAAAAAATAAGATTAGATCAAATAATTTTAAATTATTAATACCATTCAATACTTTCTAGGTTTGTGTTTTAAAAAATTAGATTGGCTTTTACCAAAAACATTTCTGACCTGAACAATTATGGGTCTGGTTGGGCTAAATCAAGCTGAAACATCAGTAGACATTTATCCAAGCATAGCCCAACTAACAAATGCACTTAAATTTTCCTAATAAATAGACATTCTCTATCAAGGCAGACCAATTGGCTATTAATTTCTAGCGGGTTGGGTCCAATCCCATAGTATTGTCCATGAAAAACTTGGTCTCTATTAGGCCTTCTCCAGACAGGTCAATAGATTATTTTGGTTATTGTTTTTTGCTACTTTCCAATGGTCACATTAAGAAAAGAAAACTGATGGTACGTAACTTCCCGCTCTCCATCTCATTGCTTCATTCAGTCACCTACATGAATGGCTAACTATGAACTATGTAAGTTTTCATCAGCATACAGTAAAGATTCAAGATTTAATATTTATTAGTGGGCTTTTAATAGTCTGGGTTGGAGTGTGCCAAGTACTCCAATTGGCGGGCATAGCCGCTCTTGCAATTTAAGACTACCAAAAAAACTTGCATGCTCTAATTATTTTTTAAAATGAATATCATAAAGTAATAATAGCAATTAAAAAAACCCGACTTATTGAAAATAGCATCAAAAGCTTTATAATTTCTTCAAAGAAAAGGACAGAAGCATATACCTTGGCATTATTTTGGAAATAGTATCAAAAGCATGGCTGACATGAGTGTTCAAACATAAATCTGTACAAAATATGCTGCACATCTGCATATCCGGAAAAAAAAAAGAAAGAAGCCCAATATCACAAAATTTTGGTTTTAAATGTGAATAAAGATAAATTTAAGGAAAAGCATTCAAATATAAGAGTAAACCTCGTTCACCATGCGCAGGAGCTCCTCAGTTTCTACAGCACGAAACCATCCCCGCTTGCATGCATTCTAAGATGGATAAAATAATATTTAAATAGCTACAAACATGACTAAAGTAATGGGATCTTTTATATCATGTCAAATAAGCAAATAAAAATAAATGAATGAAAAGGAGTCTTAGGAAGTCGAAAGCATTACAAAGAAAACATTTGGAGTAGAATAATAAAAATGTAAAAAAAAAAAGAATGAGCACACATGATTATCACACATAAAACAGTTGCTTCAACCAAAGTAACCACAACAAGCGAATGACTCGTTCAGGGATAACCTATTAATATCATGTAAAAATACAGTTTCCTCAGCTCTCAAATTTCAGTGAAACTCCATGAAGTTAAATATCTTATTATAATTTTCAAAATAAAAAGGCATTTCCAATGACAAACCCTTCTCTGTAAAATGATAGTTCACTCTACTATACTGGCAACAATAACTTGTTGGATGAAAAAGGAAGAACAAAGCCTCACTTTCTATAACATATTAAAAGAGCCTACAGATCAAGCTTTTTTCTCAATTTATTTAGTCCACCAGCAATAAAAAACCAATCTATAGTCAACAATCAATTTTAATAAATCCAGAACAAACTAAATACTTTACAGGCATCAGAAGTTTCCCTAGTTTTGAAATAAAAGCTGCATATCAATCAATATTCAGCACAATAAGGGTTTGTCATGCAGACAATTGTACTTGATCCCAATCCTAATAAATATGTTTTGAATAACACTTAATTCAGGAGGAAAAAATATGTCCTCACATCCGTTCCATACATGGCCACTTCTCTAACCCTCCACCAAGCATTCCAACATAACTGAAACCAAGCTGCTATCTCAAAAGGATGGAGATTAGAAACGTTAGATACACGAACTTAGATTCGCAGTGGTTTAATATTAACAATCAGCCTTAAACACATTTTTCTTCAACAAACATTTCTTTGTTTATCTCTTAAAACCAAAATCATTTTCAAAGAGGACTAACCCAAAATTCTTAACATGCTAATAGGTAGAACCACTTGAATTTTTTAAGTCAAATTTTTAAATAAAATATAATTCTAATTGATGAGACATCCATATGAATCAATGAAAATTTAAAAAAGTTGTGAAAATGTTTAGAAAATGAATGCCTTTTAAGTAAAATAAGATATGTTTATAGGATATAAATTAAGTGAGCAAAAAATCAACAATTATCATTTAATATTATTGAAAGATAAGATAATGCCTAGGTGAAATACTATCTTGAACAATATTATATAGAAAAAGAAAGCTATGGATGAAAATATAATATTTAGAGTTCAGACTTGATAACTAAAATAAAAAATGCTTTGAGAGTCTGTTGGGATAATAGGATAAATAAAAGCTTAAAGTTGACTTTTACAAAGCGCAATTAGTTTTTGTTGGGATAATAGGATAAATAGCTTAAAGTTGACTTTTACAAAGCGCAATTAGTTTAACAATTTTCTAAGAATCCAAATATTGGCTGCAAAACTAGTCATTAATAACTAAGATGAGGATGGCATAAATGAGAATGTAAACAAGGATATATGGCAAAAATAGAAAGATTAAATAAAAAAATAATTATATTACAGGAAAGATTGGAGTGACATATATTGAAGTCCGAAGATATGGTGGCTGAAAATATGAGTTGGTGTTTTGGAATAAGCATCAAAGTGATGAAAATATGCCATTTAGATGAGACAGTAAGTAGTGTAAAAAGATTAGAAGAGGAAAATTTATAGATAAATAGATGGAGGTTGTTAAATCAATTTACGGAGAATATGATTTACACTTTGGACAGCACTAAATTGGAAAAAATAGAAAATCAATGTTCACAAAAACATACACGTGCGTGTGTTCTTGTGTATATTTAAAAATTAATTGATATATATATATATACTTTTTTTTTTTTTTTTTTTTTTTTTGAAAAAACTAAAAGGCTAACATTTTAAAAGGAAAAAAGGATACATAAAAATTGTGGGG